TTAATCAGAATTTTATAGACACTGACCTTGAGCAAAGACCACATATGGATCTTCCTCATTTTTTCAGCTAACTGTAAAAAAATTCTTCAATTTGTTTCTGCATGGTTTCGATGTTGAGTATTTCTCATCTGCTAATTTACAGTGAGTGCCTTATAAAATCTCAATATCCCATTTTATATGCCATTCATACTTCATTAGAAATTTTTAACCCTGTCTGGCTCTAACAATTATTTGAGGGGGGGCTTAAAGATCAACTCTGCTAAAGAGTAGTGACAGATTATAAACATTCAAGATGGTTGATGCTTCTCAAACCACCTTTTGCCCCTCTGCCCAAGATAGGAGATATTGGCAGTATAATCTAAAAAAAAGCAAAAGCCCAGGAAAAGATCTCTCAGCAAGCTCTGATGGAGGGCAACTGTACCATGTTCAAGGTGGAGAGACCCTAAATGATATTTCCTCAGACACAAGAAACAAACTCTGAGATCTGATGTACTCAGGAGATGCCTTGAAAAGTAGATAAAAGGTGGACAAAGGAAAACCTTCCTGCCTGAGCCTGAACACATTTACACCTAGAAACAAACCCAGGTGATATTTGTTGGTTGCACTAAACTGACACTTGGACTTGATCCCAAGGGTCTTTTCCAACCGTAATGATTCCATGATTCTATGACTCCATGTGGTAATATTCTGTCCAGGGAGCCCTACCTGAGAGAAAAGATTTGTCTCTTTTTTTGGAGATGGCTGTGAATATATTTCATCCTTGAGCTGCTTCATTTTCCCACAAGTTTTCCACAAAAAAAAAGGAACTGATGACCTTTTAAATTTTTTCCCCATTTCATACAACAGGTGTTTGCCACTGTTTTATTGGTGGCATTTTAGAAATGCAAATCTATCCATTTTTGGTTAGATCTTCCCCATGTGTTTCAATGGAATTAGAATATAACACACCACAAACCATGGGGAGAGATGAGAGCAGCTTTTCAAAATCATGCCAAAAGTTGCTTTTGTAGGAAAAAGACAAAAAAAATGAGAAGGATTATTTCTTCATGACAAACAAGCAAACAAACAAATGAAAGCCTATTTTTATAGAAAGTGTTAAAAATACAATAGCTATTGCCATGAAAAACACAAGTGGCTTATTTCTGCCATCCCATGTTATCTCCTTCCCTGTGATCTCCCTCTTCATGAGTTAAATCACCCATTTTTTTCCTCCCATCTACAACTCTTCTCCCACAGCCTTTTGGCAGTAGAAAGTCTTCAAAGAGGCAGCTCCTCAGCAATTTATCTGCTCCCCTCAGTAGTCCAACACTGAGGAAGAAAAGGGATGCAAGAAGCCACAGCTGAGTTTATTTAATCTTAATCTTCTGAGCCTGAAGCCTCAGCCCTGTGGAGCTGGTGCCCTGAGGCTGACACAAACACCAAGAAGAAGCCTATTGTTTGCTCAGTGTATCCATCAGAAGATTATTGTGCTTGGCCAAGTTGCTTCTCTTTCTCTTTGCTGAAAGTATAAGTCCAGGAATCCTCTGCTCCACTCGAGAGGCATTTTGTGTTTAGTTAAGCAAACATTCCTGTAATTGTAGGATTAGTTCTGGAGGGGGATGTTGCTCACTCAGATGGATGAGGGTGAATGATGTTCTGGAGAAATGGCATTTGCTACCAGACACGTTTCTATTGCTGATATTTTATTTATTATTTTATTTTATTTTATTTTATTTTATTTTATTTTATTTTATTTTATTTTATTTTATTAGCAATCATTGCCCACTTTCCCATTCATATTCCGTAGCCCACAGCAGATTGCAGGTCATACAAAGAGAGGTCTGAGCCCCACTGCACTCTGTCATCAAGTGCAATTTCCCTCTTAGGTCAATACTGTTCTGAGAGCAAAAATCAATATCTTACTCTCTTAATCTACAGCAGAACAGAGACAAATTTCTTTTCCCTATCCATGGGCTCCTTATTGATTCGAATTCCCAGTGCCAGTCCACTTATTTCACATGCCTTGTTCAGAAGCTGTTTTCAAGGAAACTCCTTTCTTGTGCTGACCTGCTGTAGTGTTAAAAACAACATATGTGGAGGGAAAAAACTGCCTTGAAACTGGGTGGCATTTTGGGATCTTTGGATTGAATTGAAGCCATTATCGTGGAGAGCAGCTGGGTGAATCCCTGCTGTGCAATACCCAAGACAGGAATATGAGGATGGTGAGAGCACAGCCTTGCTGGTGAGCCAGTCTGCCTCAGCTCATTCACCTGGTGACTCTTGGAGAGATTTTCACACTGACTGCAGTGTGATGGATTTATGTTGTTTGTAGGAAGTTGCTTCAGGTATTTCTGGATCCTCTGTTCTCAGGCTAAGAGGTAAGAACATGTTGAATCCTGGCAGAGAAATTCCCTGTTCTCACCTTTCCAGTTCTCATCTTGTTCTTCCACCAACAATCCTGCAGCCAGGGAGGCTGATGCTGCCACACCCTTCCCGAAGAGGGATGTTAAAATGATAGTAAAAAGATTTTAAAATCATGGGGATTTAGGGTTAACAGGAAAAATAAGCTTAGTAGGCCCTGGAAAAATAAACACCCTAAGCACATGAAGAACTTATACTTGCTAGAACTGCACCTGTGTAGCTAGTACATGATAAATAATATAATAGTTAGATGTGATGGTTGTTTAGTAATTAAATATAATTATTGTTTAATCATAAGAATAATCATGAGAAACTGTGGTCAGGGACCTAAGAAAGATCACGAGAAACTCATGTCAATGTATACAATAGAACAATATAAGTTTAATAATGAATATGTAAGTTATATAACGATAGAATATAAAATACGTTCAGCTCAGAAGCCGTGTCGGAGTCAGATTTGGGTCTGTACCCCTGATTCCCAGAGCTCTCAATAAAAACACCTGCAGATAATCATATCCCGTGATGATGTGTGTTCCTGAACGCTAACAAAGTGGTTTGATGGGGCAGAATTGCTTTTATTTCCTGATCCCCCTTTCCCTAATTGGTGCAAAACTTTGGTGAGTGGGGACTGAGGAGGACTTGATGAGCTGTGGTGTCTGCAGGGGTTTCCTTCTCACTTCCAGTAGAAAAGAGGTCTCAGGAAACTTTTGAATGGCAGGACAGGAAAGCAGTACCCAGGGGATGTTGGTGGAAGTGTGGTGGGGCTGGAGGTCAGGAACTTGACCTTGCAGATCTTTTTCAACCTGAACAATTCCATGATATTGCAATTTTATTTGATGATGTTAAACCTTTGCCTTTTTTTTTATATTGTATAAAATCACATCATCACATAACAAGTTGGATTGAGCAAGACCTCTGTGTGTTGAGTGATCCACCTTTGCTCTTGTTTCAAATCTAGGCACACCATATTCCTTGCACCTTTCCTTGTATTTTTCCATTCTCCACCATGTTCACCACCCTTCCTTGCACAAGCCCCAAACTGGGCATAGCACTCACAAATGCCAAATATAAGGCCTCATCATAAAAAACACTGATTAAATTATGTGGGAACAAGACAAGAATTCATTCTGTCCTCTGTCTAAATCGCTTTCCCAGAAGATTAATACATCAAGAGCACTAATACATCAAGTGTATTAATACATTTAAAACTGATAGGCCCTGGTCAGCACTTTTTAACAAAAAAAAAAAAAAAAAAAAAAAAAAAAAAAAAAAAAAAAAAAAAAAAAAAAAAAAAAAAAAAAAAAAAAAAAAAAAAAAAGCAGCTCCAACACTCAAAGTTGGCAGGGAAATGAAGAGCAGCATTAACCCAAGCTCATCTCTGAAGTAAAAAAATTCTCCAGCCCTAAGTATATACAACATGGAAAGCAGGAACTCCTGGAAGTGAAATGAACTTGATAAACAAGGGACTGAATGGTATTAAATCACTCACAGGTAACAGATGCAGAGTCTCAGCGGATTTTGGATCCAAACTCATCACAAAAAGTTGACAAAAGGCTTGGCAACCTTTCTCAAGCCCACACCAGTGACACCAGTAATTCTCAACAAGTGGGAAATGCCCATGGTCAGGAAATACATGGATTACAGCAATAATTTCTGCAAAGCACAAGTGGATACCTCTGTGGTGTGGATTTCTATGGAGCTGTCTTTAAGGCATCACCCCTTTGTCTTTTCTTCTGCTTTGGAAAGAGGTCATGGTTACATGGGATTTTGGGAACAAATTCCTGGCTGTGAGGGTGGGCAGGCCCTGGCACAGGGTGCCCAGAGAAGCTGTGGCTGCCCCTGGATCCATGGAAGTGTCCAAGGCCAGGTTGGACAGGGCTTGGAGAACCCTGGGCTAGTGGAAGATGTCCCTGCCCATGGCAGGGGGGAAGATGGTTGATTTTTGATGTCCCTTTAAATCCAAACAATTCCATGATTCCATGATCATCAACCCTGGATGACTAAGTATTCACAGCAGAGCCAAACCAAGCAACATTAGGAATTTGTGCTCAGCTGCCATGGAAAGCTGTTTATACCAAGACAACACATTAACAATTACTATTTTTTTCCAAGAAAACTACAGCTGTACCTCATATAAGCAGGTAGGGATGTGCAGGATGGGGTTTTCAGAGTGACAGTGAAAATATTTTGCTTTTCTGTATGGAGATCCTGAAATCCTTTAAACATATTGATAAACAAAATTTCAAATGAGTAAGTCTGAAACAACATTATTTTGATTTCAGAGCTAAAGATGCTCAAGCACAAAGGTGTTAAATATTAGCCAATGTCTATTTCCAGGGATGAGCTGGAAATAGATTAAAAATGTTCCAACATCAAGGTAAGGTTTTATGTCTCAACATAATTTTAATTTTCAATGCTTTTATGTACAGAATGATATAACGGCTTATTTTGATTAAAATTTTGATTAAAATAAATTGTTGTGGATAAATACTGGGTGTTTTTATTGAATTTTCAGGTAATACTCTTAAAACATTTTTGTTTCACTTTGCACTGCTAAAATTGTTTTTCCTTATTCAGAACATAAAAATGTTTGTGAATTATTCAGTGGAATTATTTTTATTCTTCATTAACTATGCTTGGCACTGGACTTTCTACATTTCAGTTAATGCTTTCAAAGTGAAATGCCTGAAACTAGGCAGTGAAATCCATATTGAAGCAGATAACACAGCATTACAATTTGGAAATGTTTGCTTTAGGTACCATATAAACTCCTTGCCAGTTTCCCATTTATAGACACCTTTCTAAATCAGATTCTCTTTGGTTAGCAGGGACTAAGAGTACAAGCTCTGCTGGAAAGCATTTTTCAGCTTTCCAGTATCATATTTCCCCCTTGGAATGCTGTGGCATTTCCAAATGCTTTGTAGGGATTAGGGTGAAATCAATGATCTACATGAGCCATGACTAATTTTTAAAGGCATTTATGAATATTAATAAATCATTGAACTGAATCACGCAATGTATTAATGTTCATTTGCAGAGTTTCTTATTCTTATATCTCTCTTTTTGGTTGAATATCAGCAATATAACTACACTACTGGAATGTAATATAGGTTCCCTCTGTGGCTGTCACATATCCAAAGGTGTTCCATGGAAAAAGCTTTAGGATTAAACAACCCTTCCCTGTCAGCAGGTGTCCATCCATCTCCAGCGACCCCACAAATCCTGGTGTTGACTTTGGCACTAAATTCCGCAGTAACAGCACGCCTTGATGAAAGTTTTAGTGAGCTGGAGTTAGCCAGGGGCAGCTGAGTCCCACATGGATTTATAGAATCCCAGAAATGGTCAGGCTGGAAAAGCCTTTTCCTGGACCCTACAAATCTTTATACAGACCATGGAGTCCACCCCAAGGCACCAGCATCACTTTTCAAGTTGCCAAATATCTCCAGGGGCTCAGGTGCTTGGAAATATCCTCAGCACTCCAGGGTGAGAACAGTGATTAGAATCTTCCTTTCCCCCTCTGAAAATGAAGCTTCCTCCCAAAGGAAGTGCAGACAATTGTGCAGTGGACTGAGTTCTGAAAAGTAAGTAAAAAAAAAAAGCATAAGGCCATGAATTCAGTGAGTTTGGTTGGCATTGAAATCAGACTGACTGCTGCTTTCACATCAAGGTGAACTGTACTGAATGCCTGTCATGTTTGAATACAGTTATAATACAAAATTTAAAACAATATCCCTATTTTGACATTTAGAGTGCCTACTTAATGCTACAGTGATGGTAATTAAGCTAATTACTATGCAAACAGTCAGGAGTCAATGGCTTGCACTGCAAAATCAAAATCTCCATTCCAGAGAGTTCACAACATCCATTGACTTGTCCCTGAGTTTTCAGAGGGGAAGGAGATGCTGTCTTGGAGAGTAGTGTTGGTATTTGTCCTGACACTGAAGAACTTTCCTTGGGAATCCCAGTCTGAACTCTGAGGTTGGTGCAGATTATCTAGGGTTCTGAATATGCTATTTAATCTGCCTCATGTGCACAGGTTGAAGTGGACAGCCTGCAGGCAGAGACGTAATTTCATTTGCCCAGGACTATCCTGAATAAATTAGAAATACAGGCTGGGCCCTGTTGATTATAAGAAAGTCCCAATAACAAACTCTCATGTCCATGCTCAGCAATCAGAGATTTCACTCGTGTGGATTACATTGGATTGCAGGTCACAGCACAAATTTAATTAAATCCTGATAAAATCGATTTGCAGCTCTTCTATTGCTTAAGTTGAGATGAGATCAGTACAGAGACAGGCACCCAGCTGGAAAAAGTTCTCAAGTATAAAATTACAACTGCATTTTTAAATGTTCTTCTGATTTGGGATGCGGGAAAGGGTGATGGGCTGATCCCAGACTGTGCAGGACAGGGGAGTTCTGCTGTCAGCAGTGGAATTGTGTTCCCTTCTGCCAGCTGAGGCCCACCCTTTCCTCACACAGATCAAGCAGAATTTGTTTTTTCAGGAAAACAGCACTGAATGCAGACTTTAATTCCAGCACCCAACCTCCCCGTTGTCTGCTATATTAAAATTCAACACAATTTATGGTAACTCAACAATGCTTCTGTCTCCAGTGACAACGTGACATCTCTTGGGACATCCAAGAATTATCTCACTGGCATAAAGCACCCACCATTTACATTACAGGAAATGTCTTGTGCCCACAGCTGGGATTTGAAAGGACAATATTTAATTTCAAGGGGAACTGGACAACATTTCAAAACCAGGCTCTCATCTCAGCACAGCTGGGATGCAGGAGATGTTAACAAACATGTTCTCCCTGGTTTCTGGAGCAGGGAAAGGCACTCAGGGCATCCAGCTGGCTGGGTGGCTGCTGGAGTTCACCCTAGGTTTTGGGTGGCTCTGTGTGCTGGAAAAATCTCTAACTCGTGCTTTTAAAGAAAAGCTCAGTAGTTTCTTGTTGTTTGGTCCCAAGGCAGTTTATTGTAAGCTACCTAAAAGATTGTTTTCTTGGGCTGCTACGGTTTGCTCAGCAGCTCAGGCAGAGGCACACACACACCCTGACATCTTTGACTCCTGTTTTTTACTTTTCTCTTTGCCCCGGACTGTTGTTATTTTTTATATGGTACATTACGTGTTCCATGTTTATAGTTTTTTTTCTAATACTTATTACTTATATTAAATGGTGCTTTTTTTACTCTAAACTAATCTATGAGTGCCAACATCACCAAGAACATGGAGGTAATGAAGGAGAAAGAGGAAGGACAGGGCAGGCCTAAATTTCTCCATTTTAAAACTTTTGACCCCCCTGTACAAAACTTAAACCCCCCTGTACAGGACTTAAACCCCCCCTGTATAGCACTTAAAAATCCTTCCCTCTACTTTGTGACTACTTTTACTACAATATTTAAGCTTTTGTGACTTCTTGTTCTTCCTGTAAGGTTGGTAAATCATTTTATGGTTCAAACCCAAAATTACAGCTGTTTCTAGCTGCTTGTCAGGGTCTCAAATGCTTCTGACCTGGGTCCAGAGCATCCAAAAATATCTGAGGGACATTTTGAGTTCTGACAGGTGACCACGGACATTTGAATTCCTGGTCTTGCTCCAGTCTGGTTTCAGAAGGAATCAACTGGATATCCTGGAGCAAAAACTGTGGGTCTTGCCAGCTCCAGTGGCAGAGAGCACCCAAATTGTCATTTAGTGCTGGCTGAGCATCCCAAGGAGATCCTTCCTTACCCACCTGCAGCTGGAAGTGCTCATCCCTCATTGATTTATTAAAAAAATATGGATATTGATCTAGTACCGATATCCAACTGTGACGGACAGAAACTCTCTAACAGTTTAAAGTTAGAAAGTGTGTGTTTATTGTGTGTGGGATAGCTCCCAAATCCAGGTGATTATAGAGTCTTTTTATCCATACAAGTATTGAATACCCAAAATACAAATACATATTCATAATTTTGGTACATCCTATTCCCCACTTCATATGCTAATCACTCCAAAAGCTATTAAGCATGCGTAGTTTGTCCCTTGAAATGGGTCAGTGTCCTTTTCATGGGGAGGGGTCCCAAAATGAGGAAGTAAATGAAGTCTTCCTCATTCTGTCCCTTTTACCTTTTCAATGCAAATATGACAAATGAACTCTTGGTAGAACTCCCATTCCTTGTCTTCAATAGGTTTCAGATCAGAGGAGGCCCACAATTGTCTTATGTTCCTAAAAGCTATTTGTCAGTTTGTATATTCTTCATTATAAACCCAGCTAACTAAACATTGTGCTGACAAGCAATCAATTATTAGTTAATTACCAACTCTTAACTTCATCAAGGCCTACTCATTTACTTTAATTAACTCTAGTAAGGCTTATCTCTAACTAAAATCTTAGCCCCTCTAAAATCTCTAAATTCCTTAAAATTTACGTTTCATCATTGTAAGAAGTGCTCCACCTCCTGCAAGTGATGCATCCCATCTGTATTGCCTGTGCTTATCTTCCTTTTCATGCATTACCTGGTCTGCTCTGGTCCCCATCAGACAGAGCAGCATCCTTTCCCCCGAAGGAGATGCTCGGCATGTGCTCCGTGCATCCCGACTCCCGTGTCCCACCTGGAATCCTCTGAGCCCTTAGAGCCGGCACAAATCGCTGGATGCGCGTCGCAGCGGCAGCTCCCCAGCTTCTGATGTTTCCATGAGAGCCGAAAGGTTTCCGGACATGCTTCTACCACCCTCTTGTGTCGGCTCGCTACAAGAACAGGATTTATTCCGTTTTAAACACTTGTTCTGCATTTTGGTGGTGTCCCAGTTGATGTCTAACGCCAATCTTCCTCCTGGGCGTCATTCACAGAGCACAAAGGACTGGAAAAGAGGATAAACCCCCTGGGAGGGTGGGGTTTCTCGGTGATTTTGTTGCAGGCAGAGGTTTGATCAGTAAGTGGAGCAAAACAACTTTTTTTGCCTTTTAATTTTTCATTTCAGTAGCCTGCATTAATGTTATGATAAAATTAATTCAACTCACAAAACAAAAATACACATGACCTAGGAAGAAACATCCATTAGAATATAGAAGCTATAAAGGCATTTATTAAACATCACTCTGTAAATTATTCACAAGGTATTAATTCCCAACCCCTTCTCCTGACATGCTCTCCAAGGTTTGATGGATAGTGATTCATGGAATCTAAGGAGCTTTTCCAGTTCTCTTCACTTCTCCTGTGGTGGGCAGGTTGCCCAAGTCATTCTCTTCCTTTGGTTTGCACTTTTCCTGGGCAAGGAAGTGATCTTTCAAATAATTATCTATTCTGATACCACCAGCATAATTTCTTTTTATTGATTTTTTTTTTTCTTTTTGACTCCAGTTCTATCACGTCGAGGCTTTCTAGGGCCACTCAACAGATTGACAGCTTTGAAAGATCAAAGCTGAATGTACCCTTTACTTCACTGTCATCTTAAATGGAATTTTAAGCTCACCTTTACAAGCTTTACAAATGATGGCAGATTTTTTTTCCCCCTGCATTGCAATTCCCAGCTCTGTAAAATGACCAGGAGAAGATCAGCCTGGGTTGGCTTTGCTGTGGATGGCAGATGGTGAAATTACAGGGGGAAGGGAGGACAAGGAAAGATCTCATATATATTTTTAAGGCAGATTGCTGAAATCCACTGTTTCCCTGCACTGTCACAACTGTGATGTTACAATGGTAAAGCCTCTGAGCTCCTGTTATAAATCAGACCCTGTTAGAAGGAATTCCATTTTGAAATTTTCCAATGGGGAGAGCAGGAAATGGGAAAACACTGCTGCAAATGCCCTTAGCTCCAATCTGTGCTGCTGTGGTGTCACAAAAATATTTTCCCACTCCTCAGCCCCCTGCTCCTGCTCAAAGAGCTGTGGGGGTGCCAGGACTGGGGCGTAAAACCCAGAGAATTTGGGGATTCAGCAGCAAAGAGCCTTGCATGTTTTGTTGATACAGAACTGAGAACACTGCTGGGTGTTCTAGATACTGCATCTAGATAAAAAAGTAAACCTCAGGACTGAAATATTGGTATGGGTGTTTTTATTGAGGCCTGTCAGTGAAAATAAATTGTATTTTCAGCTGGCTGGGAGCTTGGTGCAGAGCTTTGACTTGCATACACACACGTCTACACGTATACAAGTAAAAAGTTAGGTGGTAAAAATTCAGATTAAATTAATATCCCGTGGCATGGCTGTTGTTGCTGTTGCCGTGGTAACCAAGCATGACAATGTGTTAGACAAGTTAATTTTAGAGAAAGTAAACTGTGTTTTAAAGCTGTTGGAGAAACAGATGGATTTTGTCTCAGAATGTACTCTTAAATGTTTGCTCTTTGGAAATACTTAGAGGCAGACCAAATAAATACACATTCACATCCCAATAGCTTGCTGAACTGAAAAGGCTTTCCAGATGTTTTGGGAGCATCTTTATTAAATGCATCTCACTTGCTAAAGTATTTTTGTTCACCTCCCTGATCTGTGGGCCAGTTTAGAAGATTTGATTTATTTTTTTTTTGTATTTCTGCTGGGCTGCTTGGCCTCCATTCTAAGCACCTTTTGTGAGAGCTTCAAATTTCCCCATTTTATTTTTCTTCCAATTTTTATTTTTCTCTGTGAAGTGCTGAATTAAACATATTGTGAGTTTCTTTCTTGGTGTCTGCTCCTCTGCTGTTAATTTAATATCATCCAGCCTGCTTCCACCAGAATACCCTGAATTTTCAAAGAAAATGTGCCACACAATGCAAGATAACACTTTTGGGGATGTGGATACGATAACTAAAACTGATTTAATCACTAGACTAGAAAATGTTGGTTGCTAAGGCACTAGTGGTCACAACCTGATTATGTGCAGGATAAATAGAGGACAGGCCTAAGCAGCAATGCTTTCACTTAGTCATTCAACAGCGTGATTCCCCTGTGTTGAAGAAAATGATGAGACAACAGAGGCAGGAATAAAAAATAGGGATGGAAAAATCAGATTTTCTTTTAGCATATAGATTCAAAGTCCAAAAAACCCACCAAGTCAAGATCAAATAAGAATAAACTGAACATTCATCTCAGTGAGAGAAG